GTGTTACTATGTTAAGTGGATTTTTATCAAATATAAATTTAGGTCAAATTTTGTAAAAGGCAGAGTTTGATTTAGTGAAGTCAAATTTTGTGAATTGCCACAATGCCAAATCAAGCAAAGAATCATGATGAAAATCGATTGTTTGTGTCCTTGCTCTGTCTGAAAGGATGTTCAAGACAGCTTACTACTTTTCAAGCAGGTTGAATATGCCAACTGTACAAGACCAAGATCAATATCAGTGATACTCGGGTACCAAAAGGGTTCTGCAAATCGTGTAGAATTACTTTGCGCGGGAAACAAGACGGGAAAATAAGTTCCACTCCCTCCTTTATTTGATTTTAAGTCAATACAAGTGAGACCTGAAACAAGAGGCACGATGTGTTGTTGCCTAATATGCCGAATTAGTCATTCAAAGCTGCAAGAAAAACATCCACTTATAGAGCAAACCACTATTGAGAAAAAAACAAAGGTGCGTTGCAGCAAATGCCTCAGCCCTTTAGGAAAAGGTTTGCCCCACCAATGCTCTTGAATAATGTTAAGGGAAAACATTCAATCTTTAGCAGCAAAAGATGTCAAATCATCCGAACAAATCGCATCTCGAGTTGTTTCCAATAAAACATTATCTCCGGAAGGAACTATTCTACTGACTAAAACATCCGGCGGGCCTCCACTTACAATTACCCTTGGTAAATATTTATACTTAAATAATTTTAACATATATATTGAAATAAAGTCTGTTAAGAAATAACACTAGATAGATTTCAAGAAGTAAATTTTGGAAAAGTTTTTAATTTCTTTAAAAACGAATAATTTAAAAGTTTTACACAAACTTACTAAACAAAGTTTATTGTAACTATAAAATATGTATGTTTTGGTTTTAGGTCAAAGTAGTGCGCAGACACCATCAAGTGCTCCAAAATTGACCACTGTAGCCCTTGTAAATGTGCAATTAAATACGGGCGTGTTAAACAACGGATTAAAGAAACTTGTTAGAACTATAAACAAAACATCAAGCAGGAAGATGGTAGAGCGAAATTTCTACATGAATTTTCTAAGACTAGGTCAACAATTGAGCGATTTGTTCACCATGCAGCGACTTAAAAATCACAGACGAAAAAACAGATTCTTGTACAGTTTATGTTATTGCTCACTGCAATGATTTATCAAGTCTTGTGAATCATGTTATTCAGTCCCGCAAAATTTCTGGTGGCTATTTTGTTAAGCTCGGAATTGATGGTGGCAAAGGTTTTTTTAAGTTTTGCCTGAGCATTGTTGATACTGCGTTAAGGGATGAAACCAGCTCACCGCACCAACAACAACCTCTAACTCAAAGGACTTGTAAAGACACTGGAGTCAAGAGACAAGTTATTGTTGGGGTTTCAGAAGATTTGCCAGAAACACTCCAATGTTGAACAAATCTTGTCACTGATTAATGCAAATAGAGTTAAACTAATTTTGGCTTGTGATATAAAAGTTGCAAATATAATTTGTGGTATTCAAACTCATTCAAGTACGCACCCTTGCCCCTGGTGTGACCTCAAATCCAATTGTCTTTCCAAATCTGGAAACTTGCGAACACTGGGCTCAATTATTTTAAGCCTTGAATCTTTTCAGCAATCTGGCGGGGTTGTTGCTAATGCAAAGCTGTTTGGCAATGTCATTCGAAAACCAATCATCTACGAGCTTGTCAATGTTCTGATTTTGAAAATCATTCCACCGATGGAATTGCATCTCCTCTTAGTAGTTGTCAACCATCTTTTCAAGATTCTTAAAAGTGCTTGGATAGAAGCTGTTAAGTGGCCAGCCGCCCTCCACATTCAACTGAGCCCGTATCACGGGAGCCAGTTTGAGGGAAATAAATGCAAGAAGCTTCTTTAAAATGTGGATATGCTGCAGCAACTTGCTGAGAAAAACATGGTTGCCAATATTGTGTGCATAATTGAAGCATTCAAAAGCTTCAATTTAGTTGTCAAGGCTTGCTTTGGATACATCCTTCAGCCGGATTTCGCTGAAAAACTTGAAAATTTTAAAAAGTGTTACCTAATGATTACTGTTGCAAGTGTTACACCCAAAATTCACGCCGTCTTCTACCACATCAAGGATTTCATCAGTCACAAAGGATCCCCCTTGGGGCCCTATAGTGAACAGACTGTCGATTTTTATCAACATTGGTCAAGGTATAAGGGAAATGATAATCATCCAGAGTACAAAGAAAGATTGTTGCACTGCATAATTGATCTAAATAGTAAGCACCTTTAAAGAACATCATTTGAGTTATTAGAAATTAGGCTGCTGAAATTCATATTTTACGGCGTATAATGAATATTTTCACCTTTTTTAAAAGTAGTATTATAGAGTATTTGTATTAAAAGAGTACATTGAGCTATTTATTAATATTCTTTTGGTGGAGAAAATAAAAAAAAAATTTCTTAAAATGTAATTAGATATTTGATGGTAATACAATGTAAAAAATAGGGTTTAAATAGTTTTCACTTTATTTTAAAAGTAAATGTATTTAAGGAGGTCAATACAAAATTTTTTAGGAGATCTGCTTTTTTTTTTGTTTTACTAACTGTTAGTCCTTTGACCAGGTTTTGCTCTTTTTTTTAGCTTTGTTTTTGGCAGCAGTTTATACCTTAGGAAATGTCGGTATATTCAAATGAAGCATACATGGCCGTCAACGCCGGGGAGGCTATAGGGTCATTTCCTTCTCTACTTTGCTTTTGCGAGGAACTTTTGTTTTAGAAATATAGACAATTATTTTAGAAATAACGGATTTTATTTTAGAAATTGAGGGGTTGACCCCCTCCACTTTGAAGGCCGTGTCAACACAATTAGCATAAGACTATTTAAATAACACTTGAAGTAGAAAATCACTATTTTGGTCTATAAAATGAAAACTGTAAATCCTACACCAGTCATTTAATCAGGCTGAAATTTTGTCCAGAGTTTGGTATGACTGTTGGCTACACTTGCATCAATTTTTATCAAATTATATTGAGTGGTTCAAAATCTACAAGTGTTTTTATTGGCGCACTATAAAGTCAAAATTTGACTTAATTTGAACATTCAAATTAAATTATTTTCCACAGACAAAATTAAATGATTTCAAAATTTGCATCACAGGGTACCTTAATGTGTACGCTAACTTTCCGTATAAGTGGCGTTCTTGGGACAGCTAGGTAGGCATTATTAGGATCCGTGCTAACCGTGATATATATATATATATATATATATATATATATATATATATATATATATATATATATATATAATTTTTATTTTTTTATTTTTTTAGATTTCAAAGTGTCATTTCATCTTTATGGCTACTATTTATACGATATCTTGCGGGGTAGCAATATATTACGTGGTTATGATAATAAAAAATTGAACCTTTTTATTTTGAGAAAATAGGCTTTTAGCATAATATAAAAAAAAAAAAAAAAATTAAAAAAAAATTGATTTTTTATTAAAACATAGTTTAAGGATGTTCCTAATGAAGGAATGAAACAACAGTTTTCTGTAAAAAGAAAGAAAAAAATTGTAATTTAATAAACAAAATTTATTGGAAATTTATTGTTATGTGCTATAAATTAGTAATTAAATTTGATGCTTTTTAAAATAAAGAGTTTTTATTGCTTCATTATTGCTTCGTTCAATTGGCTTTGATAATAGTTATAACATTTTGTTTGTTAATAATTACTGTATAAAAATTTGTCCTTTTAAAAAAAAAAGAATATTTCAGGATGGAAAACAAATAAAATTCTTCAGATTTACAACTATGTACTTTTTGATAATGTTTTATAAAAAAGTACGGCAAACCAAACCATTAATATTGGCGAATGCCTTAATGAAGCCTTTTCCCAGCAAACAAAAAGATATCTAAAATGCATCTAATATGCATCTAAAAACTGGTCTAAAAGATGTCTAAATTCAGGTCTAGAACGGGATATAAATAGACGTCTATCTTATAGACGTCTTTTAGATGCATTTTATTCGACACAAATAATTGCCTTAGATGCATAAAAGATGTGAAATATACATCTTACAGATGCATATTAGATGTATAAAATACGTCTCTTAAATAGATGTCTAAGGCGCGTTTAAAAAAGATAGATAATAGATAATTTTTTAGTTAATAATAGCTCTTTTATGCATCTAATATACATCTTTAAATGTATATTTCACATCTTTTATGCATCTAAGGCATTTATTTGAGTTGAATAAAATGCATCTAAAAGACATCTATAAGATAGACATCTATTTATGTCCCGTTCACGACGTGAATTTAGACGTCTTTTAGACCAGTTTTTAGATGCATATTAGATGCATTTTAGATATCTCTTTCTTTGCTGGGACTTGTTTGATACAAAGATGTTACAGCGGTTAAATTAGTCATAAAAAAGGATTAAATTAAATAAGTAAAGAAACATTTTAACTAACATTACTTAATTTTTATTTCACAAAAATATACATAAGAAACTATATTTCTGCATTGCCGTCAACATTTTCTTCCACGTCGCCAATATCTAAAATATATACATTAATGACATTTAAATGACTTTAAAAGACATGTAGAATTCTGAATCTATTTTTATGAAATATTATATATATATATATATATATATATATATATATATATATATATATATATATATATATATATATACACACACATACAGTATCGGACAAAACCAGTCCAACCAAATGATGCTAATTTAGTTTCTTTGTATAAAAGTGCTGTATTTTTTCAATTTAGAGAAATAACTATGTAACTGTTTAGAGACAACGTTCTTTAAATTTTATTCATCACAAAGTTCATTATTTGTAAACGAAAATTAATAAATTAATCAAAAGTATTAAAAAAAGTTGATTTCCTTCTGGACAAAACAAGTGCAACTCCACAAAATGGTGACCAAGCTGTATTCATATCAATATTTTGCGGTGAATCCTTTGTTGTCGATCACAGCCTTGCATCTTTAAGGCATAGATTCGATCAGGTGATCAATGAAACTTTGTGGAATCGCTGCCTAGGCCTTTTGGATTTGTTCAAACAGTTGATCCTTATTACGAACACATTCATGATTCACATTCTCGATAGGGTTGAGATCCGGAGATTGAGGCAGCCAATCCATCACTAATAGATGGTTGTCTTGAAACCACTGCTTGACTACTTTTGCAGTGTGTTTGGGATCATTGTCTTGCTGAAAAACCCATTTTATTGGTATATTCCATTTAGCATGAGGTAACATAACATCTTTCAGGATATATTTATACATGAAACAGTCCATTATTCCATCGATTCGATGTATTGGACCTAGACCATTAGCAGAAAAGCACCCCCAGACCATTACATTGCCTCCACCTTGCTTCACAGTATATATATGTATGCTGCAAAATGGCACTTGTCAATGAAATTCTGCCTGTGTGCTGTCACCTGTCAGCTGATTGCTCATTTCATGGCATGCTATGACTCCAGACTCCTGAACTGTTTGCTGTGGTAGTATAGTTCGTTTCATTTTTAAGACATAAAATTAGGAACACTTTTTAGCATTGTTCAATGTTGGTTGCAAATGTTTTGTCCAATACTGTATATACACATATATACATGTATATATATATATATATATATATATATATATATATATATATATATATATATATATATATATATATATATATATATATATATATATATATATATATATATATATATATATATATATATATATATATATATATATATATAGATATATATATATATATATATATATATATAAACAAGAAGATTTGTATCTCAACCAGATACAATAATAAACAACAATTTTTTTATGAAAAAACTAAAGGAACTTGTATTATGGATACAAAAATTCTAGCATGACACAAAAAAGTCGAAGAATATCTTTTTAATACAGATATCAGTTTTGTAAATACTATTAAAACTATACCTCGTAAAACACTCCATATATTTACTAGATTTTCTAAGCTTATCTTTTCCCCATTTCCTTTTCGATTTAATTTGGACTGTAACTGATTCGAAAATAACCTGATAAATATTTTAACAATAAACTGAAATATATAAAGATTTTTATTTTAATATATGTAATAAATTAAAATATATTTTAATAAATGAATGCTTAAAATTATGAAAGGTAAAAGCATTAAATTGGAAAAAAAAATGCTAAACAAGGTGTAGCATTACACTTACTTTAGCACACAAACAAACTTAAACACCTACAGCGAAGCTCCCGAGTTTATCAAATTGTCATGTTAAAAGTAAATCCATAACAAATAACGGTCAAAAAGAATTGCTTTTGGTCCCTTTTAATCATATTTCTAATAATTAATAAAAACATAATCATTTACCTTTTCATGATCAAAACATGTTTTCTTGGCTTTCCACCACCAATCTTTTTTAAACTATCAAGCTGAAATAAATGTAATAAAAACTAGTGTAACTTAAATTTCTTTACAACATATTGAGTCTAACACAAGCTAGTTATTTTAGTTCATTTACAAAAACTTTTTATTTAGATTCTAAACTAATAAACCAAATTTAAACAAACTTATTAAAAACTAAGATAATTAGATTATACCAAATTAGTATACTCGGTTTTATCTTTTAGTTTATTATCCAGTGTAACCACTTTGTCCACCGATTCTAGCAACTTCACCCCAGTAGCCTGAAACTTAATTTCTATAACTTCTTTTAAAAGAAGTTATAGAAATTTTTTCTGCAAGCTCCTTGAGAATAACATTTTGCATCTCTACAAACAAGAATAAAAAGATTGATTAACATATTTAGCTCATAAAACCAAATAGCAAAACAATGAAATAAGAACTTTAAAATTCAAATTATGCTTGGGTAACTTAAACTAAAATTTCAAAAATACATGTAAGTTTTTTTATTACTCCATCGCAGAAGTTGCCATAATATTTTGGAAAACCTACTTTTTAAATCAGCTAAAACTTTATCCTGTAAAAGGCTACGATATTAAAGAATTTTGCTTAACTACTAAAGATAAAATGCTACACACATGATTTATCGGATCACAACATTATAAATAATCCATTTCTATTCTTTTATACCTATCTTTTACAATTATTTTAATACAAAAACAAATTAATAAAAAAGACCTCCACATTAACATTCAGTGGTGTAAAAACCAAAATTACTCACATTAAAACTTAAAACTCTTTGACAATGTAAACTTTGCTTGGTGTTCATCAATAAAATGTGAAGAAAAATTATCTCTTCAATCTTTGAATCTGATAACAACTCTATTCAAATGAAATAATTATAATTAGAACTATAAATAATCCCTCAACCATACCTGTTATTTAATTTAATCTTTTAACTAATTTTGTACTCTTTCAATTTCTGAATTCAAACAACTTCAGCATGCTTTCAATCAATTTTCAATTTTCATATCAAGTTGATTAAAGGATTATTTAATACAATAGAATGTTGTCAATGATATAAATATATGTAACCAATTTAACAACATTACATATAATAGGACACCCAAATAGTTAAAATTAAAGAAAAATCTTAGTAATACATAAAAAAGACTAACAGCTAGATAGATATTATTCAGATCAAATTAAACAAGAATCTATTTCAGTTTATAAACCATTAAGAAAAAATTATGATATTTATGTTATACTTTTAGCATTGGGCTTATTCATAATAGGTGACGGAGGTTCTGGCAATGAAGAGCGGTATGATTTGTTATTCTTATTTTCAATGCTTTCTTTAACATATATCTCATCTGATGTAGAAAGTTGTATTCTTCACAACATGAAAATAAATCTAATTATAAAACATTTTGCTACAAAAAAGTAATTAAGTTACCTTTAAAAAAAATACAAAACAAGTTAGATACTGACTATCTGTTATCTTACACTTTATCAATGGAAATTTGTGCCATTTTTTTTGTTGACAAAAGGTTGTTTTTCAGTGCATGATTATAGTTTTTTTTTGGGACAATAAATTTGTTGGTATTCTTTGTCAATCCACTTGTTTAGTGCATAATTACTTGGTTAGAAAAACATGCAGAAAAACTTTCCTTTAAAGTTGGGTTATGCTTATACTCATTAGGCTTATATATATATATATATATATATATATATATATATATATATATATATATATATATATATATATATATATATATATATATATATATATATATATATATATATATATATATATATATATATATATATATATATATATATATATATATATATATATATATATATATATATATATATATATATATATATATATATATATATATATATATATATATATATATATATATATATATATATATATATATATATATATATATATATATATATATATATATATATATATATATATATATATATATATATATATATATATATATATATATATATATATATATATATATATATATATATATATATATATATATATATATATATATATATATATATATATATATATATATATATATATATATATATATATATATATATATATATATATATATACATATATTTTAATTACATTATCTTTTGTTCTAGAAATAAAAATATCAACTTGAAAATATTAATTTTGTAATATTTCTGCAAAATAAATTTCAAATCACAAGGATTTTAGCAAACATGCTAAGCATCAAATCATCGAAATATTTTGTGAACTATAATAGCATGTTATTTTATTATTTAAAATTTATCAAAAGAAATATTCAATAATGTTTTCCATAGGTTAAAATCTTCATGCTTTTTTCGTAATAAGTTTAAGCATGGTTTTTAAATGGCGGTCATTTATAATTGTCGCTCCGTAAAATTAGTTGATATTTTTTTCTTTGTTTTTATAACAAATCTATATAAGACATCTTATAGACATCTAAGTTTAGATGAAAAAAAAATTATCTATGCACGATCTATTTTATGCATCTAATATGCATCTAAAACAGAGCAAAAATAGTATCTCTAGAATCAGACGTCTTTTTGATCTCTAATATACGTCTAAAATATACGTATCGGCAATAGATACAAATTAGACCAATTTTAGACGGTCTAAAAGACGTCTATTGTTTGCTGGGTTTTATCATGCTCAGATGCAAAATAAAACAGGTTACTAATAGAAAAGTGATCGTTCTTTTCTTGAACATAGAAATCTTGTTTGACTTTGCTTTTTATATCATAAACTTTGGAAAAGATATCCGAACAGTCTGTCCAAAGTTGTCCTAACACTTTTTATTTCACCTTAAAAAGAAATCATAAAAACTAATGTTCAATTAAAACAAGACAGAAAACGTTTTTATTAAAATACACAGAATTATTTGTAAACTTAAACACAGAACATGGACAAGATTTAACTATTCAGTGTATGTTAACTATCTGGAAAAAATCTTAATAAAACATAGGCAATAGCATGTTAAACTACTATACAAGAAAGGATTATTAAGTAAAACCTGTTAAGTTATTTTACTCATCATACCTGTATGAAAAAGACATACCCATATCTAAGTATTATATATGGTTTAGAATTAGGATTAGGCTAAGTATTTTTAAATATGCTATCCTATAAATTATTGACATATAAACATATTAAAGTGTAATATTTTGAAACATTAATCAAAATTCATGTAAACATAAGTTTAAAAAAAATTAAATATACTATATGTAAATATATATATATGTAAATATATATATATATATATATATATATATATATATATATATATATATGTATATATATATAATATATATATATATATATATATATATATATATATATATATATATATATATATATATATATATATACATATATATATATATACATCTTTAGAGTAAATGATTCTTTACGCATGTTTTTGTAAGCTATTAATTTTTTTATGATGATTTATTTGCATAACTGATGAAGCAATTAATTCAAAATATGTTGGTTTGAGACTTTGTTTATTGATATACAAACGAACTCGATGCGTCATACCAATTATATTGGCGATCTTAGATGGAATATATCTTATTTGAGGAAGAAATTCTCATCAACAAAAATTCCTTAGAAACTTATACTGGCTCGTTTTTTAACTAATTTATCATTTAAGATAAGGTCAGGTAACTTAAGAAGAAGGTTTTCTTCTTGTATTTTTTTATGGAATAATATGTAGTTCGTTTTCTCTGAGTTAAGCGATTTGTTAACCCTAAACCAAATATTTACTTTATTTAGTTCAGTATTTTTGTCTGCATATAATTTCTTAATATCATTGTTAGTAAAAAAATAGATTTGTATCATTAACAAACATGACTCAATTCAGTTTTAAAGACGCATTGCAAAAATCATTTTTATAAGAGTAGACCTAGGATAGATCCTTGGATAGATCCTTGGATAGATCCTTGGATAGATCCTTGGATAGATCCTTGGATAGATCCTTGGATAGATCCTTGGATAGATCCTTGGATAGATCCTTGGATAGATCCTTGGATAGATCCTTGGATAGATCCTTGGATAGATCCTTGGATAGATCCTTGGATAGATCCTTGGAAAACTACACATAAAACATTTTATACTCCAGATTGTATATGACATACATATTCTTTGCTATTGGTAATATAACTTTTAATCCAATTGTAAGTCTTATCAATTATACCATAGTGCTTTAGTTTATCTAATAGGATGCAGTGATCAACTGTATCAAATGCTTTTGACAAGTCAATAAAAACATCTAAGATAAATTTATTTTGTTTAAAACCATTGGTTATTTGAACAACTAATTCAATGATTGAATGCTCAGTTGAGAATTTTTTTTTAAATCCAAACTGGTTTATGTAAAATAATTTGTTTTTAGTGAAATGAATATAAATTCCATTATAAATTACACGTTCGAAAAGTTTTGAAAATACAGAAAGTGTTGATATAGTTGGTTATGTCTAAATGTTCACTATATTTAAATATAAGAAGTTATTGAGAGCTTTAATTTATGTATCAGAGGTCTGTTTAGGCTAATTTTGTTAAAAATAGCTATATCACTAGATATTTTAGTAAACCCTGGTGCCAAGGCCAGCGCGAAGGGGTGTGTGGGGGAGCGGGTGTAACACCAACTCATCAATGATTTTTAGTCGGCAAATTTGACCCTTAGTCGGCAAATTCGACCCTTTCGACTAGTTAGTCGGCAAATATTGACCCTTTTCGACTAGTTAGTCGGCAAATGTCGACTCTTTCGATATAGGGTAGTAAGTAGTTTAAACAGTTAGTCGGCAAATATCGTTATGGCAGTCGGCAAATTTTCAAAAACGAGGACTTTTTTTTTTTTTTTTTTTTTTTTTCAGTAGGCAAAAGTGATAATGGGACCCCTCCCCCACGCGACACCTACTCGCGCCGGCCCTGCCTGGTGCTTTCTTATTTTTTTTAATAAGGAAAACGCTTCTTCAAATTCTTTATAGTTAAGTTCATTATCATACATGATAGTGTTATTTGTGAGTTTTAAAATGAATGTTGAGATTATTTTATTAGATAGATTAGGACCAATATTTAAAAACTGTTGAATTCTTGCGAGATTTTTTTTTTTGCAGAATATGTCAGTGTTATTAATATTAATTCTTTTTGGTAAAGTTAAATTTATTTTTTTCTTCCCATTACGTCATTAAAGACGGACCACTTTTTCTTACTATCAAATTTTTTTAAAAAAAGTGATTAGTTAGTGAAAATTCTTTACATTTTCAGTTAATTTAGCATATTGTTATATATCAATAACTTTTCTAGATTAGATACTTTCATAATTTTTTAAAAATAGTATACATTATTTAATCATAATATTTTAAAAAGGCATGCAAAATATACATTATTAAAAAAAATAAACAAATCATTTTAAATATTTTAATTAGATAAACTCTTCTCTTCTTATTGCCTTTTCCAACCATCTTCTCATATTTATATAAAAGGCATTGCACTGTTGACTATAATTATTATCAGGTGATAAAATATATTCTAGAGTTTCTTCAACAGTCATATCGGGATTAGCACTTCTCGTGGATTTGAAAATTGATTTTAACATTGAAAACAACTCTTCGATTGGGTTTAATTCAGGGGAGTATGGTACTAAAAACTTGTGAGTAATATTTTTTTCCCTTAGTAATTGAAATACTGCAGCTGCTTTGTGAAACTTTGCATTATCTAGGATAAGAATTTTATTTGGATTTACTGCAAAGAATGGTAATAGTTTGTTGTTGATGAAATCAATAAATGATTGTGTATTGTATGCGCCGCTTTTGTATTGGTAACATTCAACTCCTAAATTGGAAATTAAGCACATGAGGCTAACATTCTGTCCTTTATTTGCAGGAACTGTCAAGTACGCTTTTGTATCTTTTGGAGAATAGCCATATGAGCGCACTGCATGTTTATTGAATCCGGTTTCGTCTAAAAAAAACAAATTTGAATCAGCAATTCTAGCAACTTCTGCCGCAAAAATTGATCTCTGATTTATTCTTTCCATGGTGTTTCTTTCTTGAGGAATGATTGCTAATCGTGTCAAATTTAATTTCTTTAATTTACGGGAAACAAACGAGATTGAAACGTTTTTACGATGTTGTTCTAAAATTTGCGTTTGAATTTCTTTTTGAACTACTATTGTTACAGACCACGGAATTAAATATTGTCTGGTCAATGTTTGTATTTATAAAATTTTTGATTTTATACGTTTCTTTTCTTTTTACTGTAGATGACGTGAAGGGTATATTATTATCACTATTTTTCAAACACGACTAACAGCATTTCGAGTTAAATTACAAGCGTTGGATATTTTCTTGATTGAATATTTTTTCTCAATTTCTCATTGAAATAATCGTATTTTTAGTTTCTTCTGTAATTGTTTTCCGTACTTTTCTTTCCATTTATATTTAAAATATAAGAGTTAAAAATAATTTTATAAATGCACTTATAACTTTGCAAACGTGCACTTATAACTTTGCAAACGTGGACTTATAACTTTGCAAACGTGCACTAATAACTTTGGAAAACCCTGTATTATTTATAAATCTCCATCCACAGATTTATAAATCTCCATCCACGGATTTATAAATCTCCATCCATGTATAAAGCTCCACACATTTATAAATCTCCATCATTAGTATTATTTGTTTTAAGATTGCGTTTTTTCAAATTTATAACTTTGGTTCACAATCAGATATGGTTTTTAAATTTCTTACTTTAATAAATACCAGAAAGTCATTGCTAAGATCAGTCAAAAATCCCGCTTTCAATATCCATTTCCAGGTAATTATTAATGAGAATATTATCTATTGCTGTTGCTGAAGTTTTTGACACTCGCGTTGTTGCTTATTAATTGCTGACAACACATTAAATTTAAAAAACATTTCAAAAAAAGATTTTATTTTCGGAAATTTTGAATAACTTAGACCATTGTCATTTTAGTCACTAACGACATATAAAGTTTTATTTTCTTTATATATTTTTTCAATTGTATTTTTAATAAAAGTTTCAAATGATTTGATTTTACCACTTGGTGGACGATAAACCCCAGCTGGCGTTTGTTTTTAAAAATTACGTTCTAAATGTATTTTAAATGTCTTTTAAACGTTTTCTAAACACTCTTCCGTAAAGAGCGTTTAAAAGACGTTTAAAAACGTTTAAAAGACATTTAGAACGTAACTTTTAAAAACAAATGCCCGTAGGGACGCATCCAATTAAAATATTTTGAAATTTTTTATTTATAATTTCAATAAATAGGCTTTCATAATCATCGTTTGAGAAGCTTAGTATGTTTTTTATCCCTAACCCTCCACTATTTTTTCTTGGTAGGCTAATAAGTTTATAAAATGGCAAGTTATAAATAGAATTTAATTCAAGATAATTTTCAAAATCATGCCAAGCGCTTGGCATTTTTTGTCAAAGCTCTTTCAGAGGCTTGCAACCCTCTGAAAGAGCTATGACGTCGAACGTGTTATCTATAATTATTTAAAAGTTCTTTCAGTTTTTCAAATTTTGCTGCATGCTTCTAATGTTTATATGTAATCCTGAATAAAAAAACAACGATCTTTTATTATTTTGAAATCAAAAAGATCAATATACGGTGTGTCAGTTATGTTCATTTGAGTTTCCTGGAAAATATTTATGTTTTCCTCAGACAGCTTATCTATAAGATTACCCTCAAAAGAGTCTAAATTTTCAAAATGCGTTGGCATTTTTAACAAATAATTTTAAAAGATTCCAAAAAATGTATACATAAAAACCATGAATTAAATGTCGACCCTTTCAACAAGTTAGTCGGTAAACTAAGAGAGTCAGTCGGCAAATGTTAATAAAGCAGTCAACAAATTTTAAAAAACGAGGACCTTTATGTTTATTTTTTTAGTCGGCAAAAGTTGTATTGTCACCACCATCCCCACGTGACACCTACTCGCGCCGGCCCTTTATACACACATGCATATACACATACGGCCCTTTATACACACATACGCATATACACATACATACATATACATACACACATATATACATATACAAACATACACACATATACACAATACATACATATACACAACCACACATATACATATATGCAAATAAACACATATAAATAAGTAAACATATTATACATACACACATACATAAACACAATGCACACTCGGGTTCATACAAATATGTCCATATATGGAAAAGAAGGGTAAGAAGTAGAAGAAAAGATGACTGAATAGGTTTAAAATAAGCAAAAACTAAAGGCTGTTATATTTTAGAAAAATAGAGAGCTGTGTTAGAACCTTATTGAGTGTTTTTATGAAGGATAAATTTTTTGATATTGGCAATGAAAGCATTTCTAGTAATGTTTAGGAGGTTTATTTTTATTGAAAGTGGCAAGAGTGAATTGATTGGTATTTTGTAGATTGAATATCATATTTGCTAGTTTTTTTTAAAGGTAGAGTTAGATTATAACAAGATATCGATAATTATGAATATCACTTGTGAATTTTAAATAGTTGTTGAAAGCAATAAGCATGGTATTATGAATGATATTCCACACAAAAACACAGTTTAACAAGTAGATAAGTTTATATAACTTTAAAATATTTGATAAAATATATAATAAATTTAGATTAAAATTGCTTGGCTGGAATGAACTAATTGGTAAAGATTTATTTTTAAGTTTTATAAGGTTTTTAATTTGAGTTAAACTTTGCCCCCATATTTGGCAGCCATACCTTGAGTGGGAATTAAATATAGCATGTTAAATATTTATCAATAATTTGTAGTTGACAAAATGCTTTATTTAGGAAAGCATTGCATTAGCTTGACTTAGTTTGCAAGATATTTTACTTGTTGGTTAAACAAGAAGTTTTCATCTAATATAAATATTTGATCTTATCTATAGTATTTATTTTTTTATCGCTTATTCTGAAATTAAGTTTTTTTGTAATTTTGTTGCCTTAAGGTTTAAAGACAACTATTTCAGACTTTTTGGTGTTTAAAAAAATTTTGTTTGATTGTAGCCATTGAACCAAACATGCAAGGTCGTGATTAAGATTTTTATTTGGTTTTTAAGAAATTTACTGACAATAAGAAGATTGGTATCATCAGCAAAATGATATGTTTTAGAGAATTTTACACATGTGTGCAGATCGTTTATATAAATGAGGAAGAGTAGTGGACATAAGATTAAACCTTGTAGAACACTAATACATGTAAACTTAGTATTGGAGGAAGTGTTTCCAATGCTTACAAACTGAGAGCGCATATACAGGTACGACTTAAACCATTTGAGCGCAACTCCTCTGACACCGTATTAACTTAATTTAGACAGCAGAATCTCATGATCAACAGTATTAAACGCCTTCTGCAAATCAACAAACACCCCAGCAGCAAACTGTTTTTGATCCAGGGCCTCGCGTATTGTACACGACTTTAGCATTTTGGCCATTTTGTCGATGCAGCTTGGCCTGCTCAAAAAGTTTTTTTCTTATTTTACGAGTCGTAAAACTATAATCTTCATTTATAAAAATATTGCCACCTTTTAACTGTATTGCTTTTTCTAAGATTATTTTTTATCTTCATAACCGCGAACCTTCAGAACAATTGCTCGCTCTCGTTCTAATTTAGCAAGCCCCATTCGATGGGCTCGTTCAATTTTAATATCTTTCACGATTCGAAGCTGTACGTTAAAAAGTTGCTTTATTTTTTCTTTAGTCATACTCCAATCTTTTAAATTTTAAAAGATTGGAGTTCCTAACAACTCTACAAAAGTCACAAAATTGCGAGCACGAAGCATTATTTCTTAAATATATTAGTGAATATTTCCGAAAAAATCGATCCTTTAATTAATAAATTTTTTTAATTAATTGTTTCAATTTCTTCTTTTGTTACAGGTAAAAGGAAAAATTCTCATTTTTCTTTTTACCTGTAACAAAAGAAGAAATTGAAACAATTATTTCCGCAATGAATGATAGGAAAGGCATGGGCCCTAACAATCTTCCAACTTCAATTCTTAAACTATCATTCAAAATTATATCTGAACCAATCTCTAAAATGATTAACAAGTCATTTAAAAAAGGAATTTTTCCTGATATTTTTAAGATGCCAATACTATTCCAATTTAAAAAAATGGTTCAATGCTTGAACCATCTAATTACAAACCTATTTCTTTGTTATACGACATCAGAAAAATATTTGAGAAAACTATGCACCAAAGACAATACAACATTTTTTTTTTAATTTAATTTAATTTAACTTTAATTCTTTTCATAATTTACAATACGGATTTAGATATAACCATTCTACTGCATATGCACTAATTGATTTTACAGATTCTTTACAAAATGCCTAGATAAAAATAAGTTTGTTTGTGATGTTTTCCTCGACCTCCCAAAAACATTTGACACCGATAGCTTGTTAATTGTTGCAAATAAAATTTCACGCTACAAAAACTAAAACAGTTATCTTCAAAGTAAAAAAAAAAAAACAACAAAAAAAAAAGGAATATTGCATTTTCAACATGGAAAAATATTAACTACTTCAATTGTAAAATATTAAATACTTCAAAAACTGTGAAGTACTATTTAAATATACACTATAATATTTTAAAAGTGCCTTAACTGTGTAGTTAAGGCACTTTTAAAATATTATAGCGTCTCTTTGATATTTTGTTGACTACAACATATTTCCGTAAAATGGTCTGGTCTGTGAATTATGAAAAGACGAAAAAAATTAAAATAACAAATTTTGCGGTATCATCAAATATAAATGTTTGTAGCGAAAAAACCCAGACCGTGGAATCTTTTTTTTTTTTTAAAAAAATCATCTTAAAATCACAATCGCTCGTTTAAATTTAAATAAGATTTTATATAAATACGTTTTTTAGGTGAAATAAACATTATAGTTTAACAATACGATCTGTTCTGATTGTTTATTGGCAATTTTCCATAATTATAAGCTCTTTCTTGGTCGGAATTCCAGTATTTTTTGTGAAAATTGATAGAAATATTG